AATTCGAAAGAATATATGTATATATGTATATTGTAATATACGTATATATATGTATATATTATATATCATTGTATTGTTGACGTGTTATTCTAAATACGTTATTTGCGATAAATATTATCACATGCCTCGGTAATCGAAGAGATAAGATGCCTGTTCGGTAAGCAGAAGATCCAGGTTCGATTCCTGGCTGAAGTGATATTTTTCAAAAAATAATTACGGATTTTTATGACTAGTTCGTGGTCGGGCCTCGTTGTGGCACACGCTCTCTCTTCTTATCTCTTCTTTTTTAAAACTAAGATCAAATATAATTATTTAGATAATAAAATGATGAAATGAAATGAATGATGGAACATTCGTTTATATGTGATTCTTTCCATGTGTTATATTCATTTGTGTCCATTTTGTCAATCCAATATTAGCATTGTTGCAATACAATGATTTGATAATTAGATCTATTATTTTTCTAGAATAATGTCTAATTAATGTTACAACATCTTGTAAAGACGAAAAACCTCTTTTCCTCCATATTCCATCTCCGGAAATTATTAGGCCTGTCGATTCGAATATATTTTCTGCATTTGCCGTCAATCGTTTCTTTATTAATGAAATTAAATGGCCAAAAATATGCTGATTTTTTATCCCAACAATTGCCAACATTATTAGGGAAAGTGTTATTAAAAACTCGTACACAGATGTGATTTCAACATGGTTGTCTGGCTCATAATGTACGTGTTGCACGTGCAGTTTTACACAAAATATTTCCGAATTATTGTCTTGTCTTTTTTTTTCACCAATAATTTTTCACCAATAAATGAGAAATTTTGACTGGATAGAGAATAAACTTCGTTTTTCAATTTTGTTATGTTTGTGACTTCGAATGGCTTTGAGTATTTATAGTCATTGTATTCATGTTGAGGTAACCTACAATCGTAGGTATTCGAAATTGGACAGTTCCATTTCGAAAAGTGAAGATGACCTTTATATTTTTTTAGTGCCTAGAAAAAAACTAGCATGACCAAAATGTGTCCCCCGCGATATCTTTCCACTTTCATTTGAAACATTTTTTATCATTAAAAATAAGTGAAATATTCAAGGTGTTCGATTTTCACATGGTATAATATTAAATGTATATGTATATATGTTTAAATGAAAGTGGAAGGGTGTCGAGGGGGATACATTTTGGTCAGACTAGTTTTTTCTAGGTGGAGGCGCTAAAAAGATATAAAGGTCAACTTCACTTTTTTAAATGGAACTGCCCAATTTAATATTATACCATGTGAATTTAAATCGAACACCTTGAATATTTATATGATATA